TGGTCCATACAGTTCATCACGCATATCATTGTCAACATCGTTCGTGGCCTGATCGCGCAGAGTTCGGCTGCTCCCTCCTTACTTTAATGGATTGCATAAATACGTAATATTGATTAGTCTACGTGGTTTTTAAGTGATATACCTATATTCCGTCATTTACTTACTAACTAACGCCCAAAGACAACTTCCTTCTAAGAGTAAACCCCAGCGAGATGATTCCTGCAGTTGTTCTACCCCATTTATGATTCCCTACCATCGCATTACTGACCACTGATGTACCAAGGTGTCCAGTGAGGTTCATCTAATGGATCAGAACTCGAACTTTGATCTCACTTCCTATAACTTTGTTTTGTTTTCGCGTGCACTTTGTTTTTCTGATGTTCAATAACAATTTAAACACGGTGACAATTATACAACGGCTAAGAGAACACCCAGAGTAGTTGTTTGACATCGATGAACAACGAACATTATTTGGACACTGAACTCCCTTTGTTTTGATGTAACTTAGCTTAAATTAAAAAAAATCAGTGTTAGTTTATGTGAAACCGCAGACAAAACGTCATATCACATATTGTTGAAGTCCTCTGCCAATCTCCTTATAGTTATTTTACCTTTTATCGGATGTATTTATTCGTGTCTTCTGGAATGGCAGATGGAATAGGACAGGACTAGAGAAATTATCCAGTGGACGGCTGAGTAAGCCGCATTATATTGCGGTCTACATGTATATGCGGTGTTCTACGGTGGAGATCGCCAACCAGAAGAAAATCTGTCGCGTCCTTGATTATTGTAATTGATAGTTTGCACGGTTTACGCTTAGCCACCAGATCAGTGGTCGACTTCTGATAAGCGATTTCTTGATGCACATTTGGATTTACCAGTAACCGACAAGATGGAAACAGTTAATCGCGAAATTTGCAACAATGGCAGTGGTCAAGGGTTGTTGGCCACCATCACATAAATTTTGAATTCATGTGTTCGAACCCCACCACGGATAATCAACTCATCAGTGTTCTTTCTCGAGTTCTTTGATCGACCATTTACCACTTTTTTGTAAATTGTTTGTTTCTGATCAAAAAGTGACGCGATGTCCACCACAACTGGTAGTTTTATTACAGCGTGTCACATATCGGTGCATCAGTGTAACTCGGACCCCGAACAATTCACATTCTAAAAGGACTAATTCAAATATCTCCATTTTTAACTAGTGCAGCTACACTAAATAATTACAATGTCTTCTGTAGATTGGTTGGAAGAGTGAAACTAGCGGTTATACAGCTGATATTTTGATTGAGGTCTCTTAAAATGTGATAACTTTTTAGGGAAGGGAAGGGGGGCTTCAGAAGTACTGACACACGGAAATACCACAAGGAGGTGCTATAGCTGTTTCATCCTTGTTAAGACGTAGCGGTATATACCTCTGAGCTGGGATTCGAGTTCCACAGGTTCCAATTCTTTGTAATTCCTGTGAATTCACGTTAGCACCAGAAGATGGAGCGCACATATCTCGCACTATTCTTGACTGTTGAACAACGCCACTTGGTCAGAAATCAGAAGCGTTTCAGGAAAACACGCCGAGAACTGTCCGATTACCGACTATCCGGTTTGGTTCGGTGGAGCAGTAGGAATTTTAACACGTTGATGCCGTATGATGAATCAGTTCCGATAAGCCTGATCCTGCAGGAACTCAATGAAACGCGTTAAGAACACACAATGCAGATGAACATAAGTTTTCAGTGAATTCATTTTCGAGCTTTTATAAGC